ATATGTATATATTTCTATATATATATGTATATATTTATATATATATATATATGTGTGTGTGTGTGTGTGGGTGTGGGTGTGTGTGTATTTGCGGTGTATGTATATGTGTGTATGTATTCGTGTATCTATTGTAGTACATATTCACTTTTTTAACTTTTTATGCATATATGTATGTGTTTATACGAATGTATTGTTTGTATGTATGTATATTTCTACCGCATCGCTTTTTGGCGAAGAGGGCGATCTTAAGTTCATTAAGGGAAAATTATTTTAGCAACGCGATATTATGCATTTCATGGACAAGTCTTTTACTAGTCTGACAATTTGATGATTGTTTCTTTTGTCGCGATGTGCCCGATTTTTAACCGATTTACAAACTGCTCTGACAACATACATGACAATAGTACCAAGTACACCCTTTAGAAAGGATGCTTTGTGTATCTCCCTATTCTAGGGTTTAGGGTTTTCATGACATTGGTACCACGCACACCCTTAAAGTTTGCTTTGTGTAACTTTCTGTATCGTGACTCGTCGAGCTCTTAATTAACAACTTTCAAGAACAGGTTTTTATACGCATCTGGAGTCCCACATATGTGTACCATAATGCACACGGACTAAATATACGTCTCCACGTGTGACTCAACTGGCTTAAGTGCGCGTGCCACTAATCTGCATTGATTACCTCCGCTTTCGCACAATTTCTCAGGTAAGAGAATCGATCTGGCCTTTGGATCAAGCGCGCTTACTCATGAGGAAATGCTATCTGCTTCGAGCTATTCGCATGCAGACGCAATCCAAGTACATAACGCGACTCAACAGGTGTGTGTAGCACCGGTTGGTGCTTCTTCTTCACTGTACTGCATGCTCAGTGTGTTCATTTGTGTGGCAACTAGGCAGGAATAGATTATAAGAAATGGTGGCATCCTCCTGTGGATCTTATAGAAATTTGAGGTGAGAAGCTGTATTTTCCGCGTCAGTGTGATAAGTTGTGTCCCCCTTTTGGCGTATAGATCGATGCCCGAATCATTGCAATTAAGAACGTTCCAATGTTCAAGTCATGTAAGCAATGGTATACACCGGCCACAACTATTATTTGCGGCTTAGAGAAGTAGTGGAGGAAAGGTAGAATGAACAAACTCTATGTCAAACCTCAGGCTGCTAGGACTAAGAAAACATACCGTCCAGGAATCGGAATTAGAACTGGAATTGGCGTGGCAGATTTGACCTTCCGCAAGCTCACATGAACCAATTTATCCTCCTCAAACAGTACACAAAAGACTACATAAACCTAAGCACATCGCAAAAAGTAGCTCAGAGCATACTACCAACTGACATTGGCTACGGAAGCCCCAATCCTAATTTGCCATGGCGTGTACCACCATGTAACGGGTTCCCTGCAGCACCGCCACTTGCGCCGCTGCCGTATGAAGCTGGCACGTACGTTTGTCTATTGTTACAGCGACAGCAACGTGTACATTTTGGTACTAAATGGTTGTGGCTGTACTGGATTTGGTTCCGTGGTATGAGGATTGAGAGTTTTAATCTTTGTTTACTATAATGTGTGTCGCACTGTAGCTTGTTCCCCGCAGCACCACCATGTGCGCCGCTGCCATTTACAGCTGGCTTGTATCTGGATTGACTGCTGCTGCCAACCCAACATGTAGGGTTTGATTTTTCAATGCTGTGACTGGGCTGGATGTGGTACTGTGGAATAAGGAATGATTCTACTGTTATAGTCAACTCGAAGACTCTAAGTTAAGCCTGCATTGCCAATTGTTGTGGTTGGACTGGGTATGTAAGTTTTCTATTACTGCAGCCAAATGAAAGCTCAGCTTGTTTTTGGTACTACTTGTTGAGGCTGTGCTCAGCACGGGTTATATATTATATTAATCACGGTTGTGGATCTTAATCCTAAATGTACAATGGCAATGAGCAAAACGGTATAGAATAAAGACGCACACAATGGCTGCAAATTCGGTGTGTAGCCGAACTATCATTGTATACCTTGTATTCATAAATTCTTAACACAATACGAACTCAAATATGCAATAGGCTTTCTGCTAAATATTCCATTCGCTTAAAGTGAATACGCCGTCAGTGCACCAAACTAGCTAAGCTTGTGCGACCGTTCGGATACTGGTTCCCTATTGGTCTATACACGCCATGGATATATATATTCATATATCTATATTTTCATATATATATATATATAATTGATATATATTATTATTATTATTATATATTTATATATCTATATTTTCTTATATTATTATATATATATATATATATATATATATATATATATATATATATACATTATTATTATATATCATTAATATATATATATATATATATGTATTATTAATATATATATATATATATATATATATATATAAACAAATAAACTGTTTCTACGCCATTTTTTCTTCCACGCAGTCTATCTGCACATAGTGTATACATCATCAGAGCCTTGAACGAGCTAGGCTTGTACTATCACCTAGATGCGGGTTCACTGCTGGGTAGTAAGCGTCACGGAGGAATGATTCCGTGGGATGTGGACGTAGATATTGTCATACCCGTACGAAGAAACTTACATCTCTTTGGTTCGGACTTTGAGTGCAATGGTGAGTTGTATCAAGCGTTCATAGTCAGTCAGAATTGCTCAGAGGTCTTGCGGCGATATATGGTGTAATATACCACCGAACGCACAATTCTCGCCTCACATAAAAGTATACGCTTTCATTTTACGAGCAGATAAAGAGTTCTTGCCTACGTTGCAAAAACGTATTCACACCAACGGATACAGGCATGCATCGGTATTGAATTATTTGGCTCACTTTTTTGGTAGCGAATCATAATACGTTCTTGTATCGCCATGTATGGGTTTTAGTTTGTGCATGTACTCCAAAGAGTCGACCCATCTTTTTAGCCGACAAAACCATACGTCCACTCATCTGACCTGAATGGCAAAAACTCATATGATATCATGAAGAGCTCGATCGTTGACCCGCTCATCGATGTGTTAATATAAATTTGAAGTTTAATTGCAAATATGCATTCTTTGATATAATGCGAGAGCCTGGGACAAAGAAATAATCGTGTTATATCATTAATTGTTGCATTTTTGGAATGTAATTTGTGTTCAAACCCTCTGTCTTGCGCGCTACGCATTGAAAAGGTACTTTTGTCTTTGCGATCCCCCCCCGCAGGTGAGCAGACTAAGTATAAAATATATAGAAGCAAGCAACGAAACAATCTCGCTCACATTCTCGTTCTGTATACCCCGCGTGCAAACTTCGATGCTTGTGCCACCCCCCACACTCTGGCCATCAAATAACGCTGAACACAATCAGATTTCGACGTCAGGACAGCAGAGCTTCCATTCACTCGGGTACGGATATATCAGTTGATTCCAATCTCTGTGGAGTAAAATGTATGGTCGCTTTGAGTCCAGCGTGTTCGTTTCACAGGTGTATTGCGCACATGTCTACTTTGCTATAATGACACACACCCTTTCCGCGTTCCGGTCGGATCTCCGATGCTTACCGAAGACTAAGCAACATCAATAGACACGGTCTGAGTTATGCGACACGCGCACGCAATGAATGGCCTTCGGCAAACAACTACTGGATACTGACATGCTTTGAACTGAATGTTCAGATGAGAGCGTCTACTTGTTTTATCACTGTGACTTATCTGTTCCTTTTAACTTTAGGTATCATATAGCGTCGCCAGATAAGGTGTATATTACTTCCAGGCTTTGGCCGAGAGCTTAGTAGTGCGTCGTTTGTTTAAACTTGAACACAACAACACCAACCCGGAAACACCGACGCCGGTACAACCAACAATCCACTAACAACGCGTAAATTGGGGTCTTGCATCTCTCTCAGGCGTTGGAGGGAAGCTCGGTAGAGAGTCTGTGCGGACTCTCCAAGCGGGCGTTTGCGGCGAAGTACCTGTTCCGTATACTGGATGGCTACTTTCAAAGCTCGGGCATAAGAGTCAAGTACGTGTTGTATCGGAACAATGCTCGCGTTTGCGTATGAAAGTACCATATACATGCGATGTGGAGGGTATTCGAATGGTATATAATTTCTACGTACTATAGTTAGAAACACATGCACATAGGATAGGTGTATGCAGGCCAGCGTGTGAGTGTGAAATACTTATAACTTGGTCGCTTACTAGCTGGTCAATATATACATATATACAGTGGGTTCTCGCAACCTGTTCACTTTTTAGTTATCCACTTCTACGGCTATTGTCCGCAGTCTACAGCGCCCTTCCTGCACACCATGAGTTGTATGATGTGATCCTCAACCCCACAGAGTGCTGAACTATCTTTTGTCATGTTGACATTTTATGTCCTCAAATGCCAACAGTATAGTCTACATCTTAACACCGCTAGTTTAACTCCTTCTCTTATCTTGCACCCCCACAGACTCAAACCTGAGGGAAAGCAAGCCGTCCTCAAGTTCTTCACATTCTGTCGGGGCGAAATCACTGAGGAGGTCAATCTACCAGGCGGTGGTTACTACGACCGAAAAGAGAGGAACGGCACCATGTGCGAGCTGATGCGGTTCGATGTGTTTGTGGACTTCAACCCACACACGGGCGATGGTGCTTGTACATGCCCGTGGTATTACACACACGCCTTGTGCCCTATGGACAGCCACCAAGTGCTCGTGAACAAGTAAGTGCTGGCAAGGGACTAGGTTGTGGCTGCGTGTTTGCGGATGATTTCATTGCGCGAGTATAGTACCCAACCTGTGACTGCATGTTTGCGCACATGTATGTAAAGTGTGATAGAACTATGGACCAGCGTATGCCAGTCGATATGATTGTGGCTTTTAATCCACCTACAGGTTATGCTGCTTGTACATGTCCTTGGTACTGCACAGACGCCTTGTGTCTGACCAGCAGCCACCAAGTGCTTGTTCATGAACGAATATGTGTAGTGAAGTGGTTGGGTTTTGCTGAGGCGGAAGCGAGAGTATCTTGCCCGTACTGCGCTTAGGTTGCTTTTTCTATGCATACGCCTGTAGTGGAGAACGGAAGACTTAAGTCCCTAAAACCCTAAATGGATCTACACACGCGCAATGGTGTATATATATGACCGTGGTATTGCACACTCAGCGTTTCTTAACAATCCTTCACTACCATCGAGTGCATGTATACAACCGCCCGTGGTGGCCGAACGAGACACATTAATGAATGTGTGCATGATTTTGAACCACATATCTCTGTAAATAGTTGCTGACATCAAAAGGCCGTGAAGGTTATTAGTCACATTCTGTAGTCATAATATAGTATACGCAACTTTGCATTGATACACATGAAATGAATTGTCCTGAGTGATTGGCAATGAATTCGTTCTAAAAAAAATTGTATTGTGTCTTGTCTACTCAGCTTCGGACCAACATATATGGAGCCTGTCAAGGAAACCGACATGATAGACACAGTCGACACGCACGCAACAGCCAGTGATTCACAACCCGGTGGCGTAGAAGGGGTTGACAGCCCCCCTGAACGGTAGGTGGTTCTTGGCTTAATATAAAGTATGCGTGCCTTTGTACACGAAGCACCCGTGTTGCAAGTCAACTCACAGGTAAATATATCCTTGCACACGGAGTATGATGAGCACATGTGCTGGAATGTTATTACCGTGAGTATGTATGCAATCAGCCATCAGACACACACGACAACCACAGAAGATGCGAATTGAATTGTGTTTCACAACGCGATGGGATAAGAAGAGCTTAAAGACTTTCCCGGAACTGAGGCGTGGCAAGGTTAAAAATATCAAATATGCATATGCAATCGCACATTGAATATGTAGTTGTGGGCAGATGGGTGCGATTGGTAATCGTTCGTTGAAGAGATATACAAAGGCAGAGCTGATATGCCTTTACGTTGCATATACAGGGATGCGATTGTTTACTGCGGTTCTATTGCCAGCTTCTTTCTACCTACAGAAACCCACATAACACATAATCTCGAAGAGCTCGGATGATAAATCCACTCGTTTATACTATGGTAGAATTGATCTCTGAGCAGCATGTGTAGATAAAGAGTTTCATTATTAGGTGCTGGGAGCAATAGTCGACATACCTACACTTGCTCCCTCAACGATTACGAGCACTTGTATGTATCTATTGGTACTCGCGGATATGGTTCCGGGTCGCCTATACAAAATCAGGGACATAGGCGTATTCACATGTGTGAGGATGTATTTCAAGCGACCCGATTTTACTGGTACATGTCGTTTAGATATCTCAGATCAGTCACATATTTCGTACTTTGACCACATAAATTTGTATGTGGGATTGCCGATGTTCTCATGTGTGTCTTTGGATATGCAACTGCACATTCTTGAACTATGTGTTCTTTGATTGCTGGATTTAGAAATTGAATAGAGTAAATAAATGCATACAACGATCGCATTAGGTCACACATATGCAAGTGTACTCTAATATACAACATTGGGATGTGTCACCTGCCTTGTCCAGCCGTACACAAATAAACAAAGTACCATGATGGTTCATCCCAACGTCAAACAGACTCCCTACATGTGCAAATCCTCCTACCTTAACAATCAGCTATTAACAGTCATCGTGCTGAATACCACACTTTTCATACACAACTTAACACTCCCTCTCTACAGCTATGTGCCGCTACTCACTTATCCGCAAGCCCAGCTTACGTACGAACGCTTAGGCGTACACCAGTTCTCGTGGATGAACGAAAGCCTACCATCGGCAAACCTTCTGTACCACCTGGAGCCGCTCTTAAAGATCAAAGCCATACTGCATGAACGAGTACAAGACCATCAACGGGCCTTGATGAAGGCAGCAAAGAAGCGCGACACAATAAATATTGTTCAGCAAGACTGAGAGATTATGAGATTCGGCTGGACTACCGCGATATAGCTCTCTGGCCCTTTGATGGCTTATGCTGGATCAACAATTGGATGCGTACGTTACAGTTTACCAGCGATATCGTACAGCTTTCTGTTATCTGTGAGCTCCTTCTCTATACTTATCTCGTTGAGTCTAGCGTAGGATGAAGACAACCCAAAAAATAAACTTAGAGAAGTGGATACTGTACTGATCACGCAGCGGAACTGAAGTGGCCTAATCAAAGATCATTGGAACCAATTGTTTGCATATTGTGTAGTGGGTCCGGTAATTTAAGATAAATGGCTTGGAAAATGAAAGCAGGGGTTGGTATTTCGGCAAAACAGTTAGATTCGGTGTAGCGAAGGTCCATTTTATTGTCAGTTGATTTTTCCTTTTCCTGCACGTGGGCCGTTGTACTAGTGATAAATATATATGATGTGAATATTTATCCTGGAAATAGCCCATAACAACTTCGAAATGAAAAACGCAAGCGATCCTATAGTCCAATATATTTATATTTATTCATAGCCGACTGAAAATTAAATGAAAAATATTCAGTATCCGATTTTCAAAAATAGAACCTGCAGTCCGCTTGAGCAACAGTGAGACACAGCCATATGATGCAGTGCCTACTCCGATTTGCAATCCATTGGCTAACCTGGGTGTCGATTTTTAAATGGAGAAAAAAATACAAGCAGACCATAGCGATCGCCTCAATGGTAATGAGATATCCATGTGTATTTCGTCAAAAAAACAAAAACAAAACAAAACACTTACACTACTGCACAACTAGGTTTACACGTACTCTGAATTCGCGCCTTCATAGATGGTGGAGCGTACAAATAGAGTCAGGTATGACGAAAGCTTCTAAACTAACCTTGTGGAGGTACACTCTAGTCTAAATTGGGCTCTCCCGTCCAATACATATCGCCTGGGCTGATGACACAAGTCGCATCATACCCCGTGTATCTCAGAGTATTCAAAGACAAGAAGTATTTAAACCTGATTCTACTGCATGGCTGAATATGTTGGCAAGCAAAAATATATTCCCCGTATTAGAATCGAAGTCCTAAAAATGACCCGCTGGGCGGCGCGACCTTAATAGGACACATGGCGAAATAACCCCTGCAGTAAAGTTTTGCTATAACGTAAGTGCTATAACGTAAGGTATAAGCGAGTGGGTCTTAGATGTACTACAGAACTCCCGAAAAAATATGAAAGGACACATGTTATGTATGCATAGTAATTATGATGCATCTACAATTTGAGGGTATCGCTAAAGGTGTTTCAAAAAGGGCTGATGCTACAAGTCGCATCATACCCCGTGTATCAAAAACAATAACTATTTAAACCTAGTTTTACTACACGGCTGCAAATTTTAGCAAGCGAATATATATTCCCCGTTTATATAGAGTCGATGTCCTAAAAAGCCTTATATGCCACGGGGCGAAGTAGACCCAGCAGTAAAATGTGCATGACTTAAGCAATTGCCATAACGTGAGGAATTGAGCCATGAGATATATTGCAAAAACCCCGAAAAATATGAAAGAATGCACGTTTATGTATGCATATTAAAGTAAATATAACGTATATGTACTTTTAATTATATTTCCAAAGCGGTTTTATATATCCATCTATTCTTATCGTCTAATGTCGGAAATCAATATCTATCATATTATCTCGAATACAACAGAAGTTCGAAACACCGAACTGTCAGGTTTCAACTAAAATATGGCAACTCACAAAAGTGAACAGTGATCCCGCTAATTTAGTTGTGAGTCAATAGATCACATATATACACCCTCTGCAGTGCGGTACAATAAACACTTCTTACACGTTATATATGTATAACAGGTTATAGGCCTATTCTAGACATTCCCTATAGCACTCTACAACAAGTATATTTTACCACACTAACGATACAATTTCAGTGCTATTACACACAACCATCTACACTTACAAATCACCACAATCTCTCAAAATTGACATCTCAGAATCTCACACGTAAATACTCATACGTAAGTGCATTATGACTGAATTCGAACAAACTGTTTGGCCTACAGCCTTCGAGACGATCGAAGAGGCCCACGCATTAGCGCAACGGTTTTGGCCGCAAAATCATTTATACAAGACACTTGCCCACGCAAACAATCACCTCGACAACATATTCCGTTGCATCGATACCCTCAAACTTCCAAAGCCGATATTAACGGCTGTACGGCCATCGCACTGGGACACCTGGCCCTGACCAAGAGCGATGCTGATTACGCAATCAAACTAAATATCGATCTAACAGCTGAACTCGCATGATACAAACAACATAATATCGAGCTAGGCGACGACCACAAGCAATTCCTCTCAGAGCATGAGTCACTTTTGCAAGAGCACAACGATTTTCCTGAGCGCCTTACCCAAGTCCACGCTCAACTCTACGAGCAAGGACAGAATGTCGCTGGCAACTTTACGGCACTCGAAGCAGAGCTACGCAACCTTCAAGCTGAACTTGACTCTGCACATACTGCCCCTGATAACAAAAACGAACACCTACATCATTCACAGTCAAATACGGCATCACGCCCAATTCCCCACGTCTCCCCACATCTCACTGTCCGAAATATAAGGACGTATACAAACGCACCAAATTAGAACATTGGTCCAGCTTCGGTTTCTGGCTCACCGGTCTCAAGATGGAACTTGCTTATAATATGGGGTTCTCGATCGGCTTCACTCTCAGTGCAACCTACCCGACGTCGGTGATATTGAGGCTGATGTCGAATGTCAGCGTATACTAATTGACTCTATCGCCGAGAAACTAATCACCATTGTGTACAAAAATCATGTGAGTAAGACACCCGCCGAGTTCTTCGCCTACATATGCATCAGCTATAACACTGATAGCCATGGACGCCTCTGGGACAACATGCAACGTCTCACCAACTTCACTGCCACCTCAAGGCGTTTCCTCAGAACCTTCTTGATGTCGGTGAACAAATCCCTGACAAATACCTCTTCTGTGCACTACTCTACAGTCTTGGAGACTCTTATCACAACCTACTATCCATGATCTTCGACCTCGACGAGTCTATCGTCTTACTCTCAAATTTGAAGGCGATCACCAGTTATCTCCGCGTAACAACACATCTAGCATCAATGCTCTCCAAACACGCCCAACTAATACTCCACGAGAGCGTAAATGCGTCTTTTGTAAGCAATCCGGACACAAAAATATAACCTGCCCCACATCTTACTGCCAAAAATGTGGTGCAGAAGATAACATTGGACAACGATGCACCGTAGATAGAACGACTCTCCAGTGCACGAACTATCATTAGGAGGAACATAATGCCAAAGTTTACACGCGCAAATGATGGTACGGGGCCCATCCTCATCGTGGTACTATTAACTTCAACTATAGCCCTACTACTTTACACATTATACCACCTAGCGACCGTTATCGGATTAACATCCTTTTTGACCGCGCTAAAGGGCCCGCAGATACACATACATTTACAGCCTCTCTTATCGATTCGGGAGTCATAATTCACATTCTCACTTCCACGGATGATGTTGAACAAATAGAACATGGCAATTACATAGTTGAATTTCCCGATAAATCACAGGTAACTCTGAATACACGCGGTCATGTCCCCAGCTGGCTCAGCAAGGTGCTTAAAATGCCCACAGCTATCCAGAATATTTATCTGTCAGACTACTTCAATGCCATGGATACGGTATTTATTCTTATCCAGCCTCATCTAACTCTACTGCTACGGAATGCCACATCCTAAAGGATGAAAAAGTCATCCATTGCGTGTTCGATGACGCCGGTCAATATAACCTGAATCATTTTACATCGGACACACTTTCCGACTGGCACGCTCGACTCGGTCATACACACCCTGACATGGTACGCCCTACACTAGCACACAGTAACATTACAGCGACTGTCCCTCCTAAAGCTTCTCATGACGAATGGAAGCTCAACCCTGAGCTGTTCCAGGCCCATGTAGTCACACCGTTTGGCCCTGTTGATGTCGACCTCTTCGCTACTGGAGACAACCAAGTTTCCACATTCTGCAGCCTCGAACCCGGTAGCCCACTCCCAAATGCATTTACACAATCCAGGCACCAACCCGCCAAGCATATCTATGTCAACATACCATTCTGCCGCAAAACTTGGCGCGTAACACTGCGAAAACTCGACAGAGAAATTGACTTATTACCATGGTCTTCCCACTTACCCCCGATGCCAACAACTATAAACAGACACTCCATCAACTCCATTCACACGTCGAAGTCATCCGCACGACAGCTACGACGTACCTCGAACACGGCCAACATGTCGCTAGTCTACCCAAATGGCGTTACATTTGCATCGCAAAAGTAGGTAATACGCAGCATGCCGTTCCTCCTACTGCCGAACTTTTATCAGCCGAGGCGGGTGTCATTGCACACCTCACTTCGCTCACATTTTGTACCCCTTGCGTTCAAAGCAAAATGAGACGAAACCCTATATCCGATAGAACCAAGAATCCTGCAATGCATCCACCCATTAGAGTGATCTTCCATGTTGACCTCGAGACCGGCCTCCCCACTACCTCTGGTGGTTATACTTGCAACGTGAAATTCATTGACGCCAATAGTAGCATGCCATTCAGTCTATCCGCTTAAACACAAAGATAATGCTTCCAATCCTCGACCGGTTCTACACGGATATCAGGAGATAACACCCTACTACGCTCCAGGAACTCAAAATGCGATCGAGGCGGCGAATTTATCTCTCAAGCATTCATTCGCGTCAACACACAGGCGCACGTCAAAGTTACATTCGTGCCCACGAACTCAAACCGCTGCACACGGTCTCGTCGAGCGCACCAACGGTCTCGTCAAGAATTTCATGATGTGCCACCTTAAACACGCTCAGCAACCAGAATGCATGTGGGGCGAAGCCATACGCCACGCAATCCTCACCAAAGCCATCCAGGTCGATACACACAACGATGGCAACAAATCTTCCTGGGAGCTTTCCATGGTGAGAAGCCCACACTGCGCATCAAACATATGCAAGTTTATGGGTATCAGATTGCATTCATAATCAGGACCAAACCGGTAAACTCGATGATAAAGCGACCCTCGGTGTTTATCTCGGTCTTGATACCAGTTACAAATACTACAACAAGGCGCGTATACTGAGTCTCAAG